GAATGAAAACTGTGACACTGTTAGAGTATGTCACAACACTATATATATATATATATATATATATATATGAAGAGTTCATTTGCAAAAACCGATAAACGCCAGTTTTAAAAAAAAATAGCTGATTGCCGTGCATTATTCTCCACATATAGCGCAAACTTAACCCTAAACACGTTTGGTCAAAAACGCCGGTTTTGTCCACTTTCAAGGCATCGCGATTTCACGTTTTACTGCAGAAGCCGACAAGCTCCCTTGTCAAAGCTGACTAAAAGTGATCGAGGATGGATAATTTCGACGTACTTGATAAACCTGTGATATCTTCTTCAGCGCGAAAAAGGAAAATAAAAGCTGAAACGTTTTCACTGAACCTTGCAAAAGCAGCGCGTTACAATGGTGAGGGAAAAGCTCAGTGTATTGCGTGTAATCACATCCATACAGTTTATGATTCACAACAACAACAACAACCTTTGTCAGGCATCTACATTGTCATCTGAGGAGATTACAAAGATTAAACGAGTGATTTTTAAAACTCTAAAATATGAAATGTGGAGTTATCTGCTTTTGCCAAAAAACGACTGTTGGAGTTATCTGCTTTTGCTATAAAACAAACTTTTAATATGTAAAAAAAAACATAACGTTACTTTCAATGAACTTTTATTTTGTAAATTGCCAGTATTTGTTTAAGTTATTATTACTTAAAGGTGCTGTATGTAAGTTATTGACTCAACTAAAGCATAAAAATACCATAATATGTTTGCAGATATTTAAGAAACATGCTAAGTTAACATACTTGTTTATCTGAAAAACAATGCTACAGTCAGTTATTCTCCTTTGAAAATGTGCGTTCCGGGCCGGAATGTCGGTCTCTGTTTTGGTTTGTGAAACCCGCCCGCTGCCAGTTTACCCAATTGTATTTCGGCACCCCGGGTTGAACTGGTCAAATCAAGATGGTTCATCGTCAAGTGTGCTCGTTCCTGTTGGTGTCGTCAATCTGGCAACCTGCGTTTGCGTCAAGTCTGAGAAGGAGAGGCTGGGTGAAAAAAACCTGCTCCAATATTTTGAATTTGGACTGCAATACCTAGTTCTACCACTCGGTGTCAATCCTACATACAGCACCTTTAATCAAAACAACCCAACTGCAGTTTGATTGATATTACTTGGAATGCGAAATAAAAAAAACGTGATTTCTGAAAAAGTTATTGGGAGTTATCGGTTTTTGCAAATTAACTCTTCATATGCATTTACATTCACAGTGTAATGTTGTTTAAGCGGTTGATAGTAATCACATTATTTTATTTCAATTGATTTTGCAGGCTTGGTACTGAGGATAACATTTTGAGCACCTTGGAAACATTATTCCACCGTATTCGCATTACAAAAAGAATTCATCAGCATTCACAAGGCATCACACACTTGCCGCATTACACAACAAATCCCGTCACGTCCTTTAAAGTCGCCCTGTCCTGAGGATCAGTAGAACAGCGGCGATGGACTATGTTCACATACAGAGTCGTTTATCAAAGCTCTGCTGTTTCTCTTTCTGTCTCCTGCTGTCTGACTGTGCTCTGGGAACACGCTGCCTCTACCTGCAGCAAGTCAGTAAATGATGATTTATACCTCCTGCAGTCAGAAGTCACGTTTTGATAAATCGGGATGGAGTCTCAGATGTAATTTTTAGGGCCTGCAGTTGTCCGTGTGTGTCTTTGTATGGTGATAAATGGAACAGGATGGTCACTCTCTCTCCTTTTCCTTTTCTCTTGCTGACAGGATTTGGGGTCCTCTGGTGAGCACACTAAAGCAGGCAGATGCCGTTTTTTGATTGGGAACACAACTAAGTCATCTTTGGCCAGGACACCACAGCTCCCTCGCTGCCACCCATGTCAGGATTAATCAGTCGGAGTGTGAGAAACATGAGGGGAATAAAGCCACCTTGGGAACAACGTTCAACTCGCTCGCTCAGCATGACCCGTATCATAAACCCTGCACTGGCCACTACTGTGAGCCATCTTTCTTCCGTTTATTTTTTTCCCCCCAGATTTTATTTTTCAGCATCCCTCTCTCTGTATTAAGTTTCCAGCAACAAGCAAGTTATCTGTCTGCACTGAACACAAAACCGAGGTGTGACGCAAAACAATCAGAACCAATTAGAATGTATGTAATTCTCTTTTACCACATGAATTATTACGGCAGTTATCAGTATATTATACAATTAGAAAATATATTTTATTACATTGCATGGAATATTAAAATTATATCAGTTAATGAAATATACACTTTTTTTTACCATAAACTTAAGTTCAACCCTGTAAAACCTAAAACGTTGCAATCATATTTTTTTTTTTTACGGTAATGTGCTGCCATTTTTTTTTACAGTAAATATTTAAGGAATTTTTTTTTACAGTGTACTCTCTACTTCTCATCACTGCTTTCCTAAAAAAAATCTACTTCCAGTGTCTCTTTTTAACAGTGTTCATGCCTATATTTCCTTCTCCGTCTATCTTCTCCCCCACAGAAATGCTATTTAAGTCGTAATCATGTGAAATCCATCCCCGCAGAGCTCTGTCAGAAGCATTCCCCCATGCTTTGTATTTTTGCTCATCAAAAACGCCATATTTTGAGAGCACGTTACTTACAGAGCAGTGTAAAGGTGGCGTCTTATTAAATTTCACTGGATGCTTTGTAATGAAACAGGAGATTGGCTTAAGTAGATAAACCCTCTCACTGGAGGAGTGGAGGAAGAAAGGGGGTGAGTGAGGGAGATGAGCTGCAGCTGAAAAAAGCTTCGATTTCCTCTCCTGTTTACTAAGCGTGGATATTTAATAGTTGTCAGCAGCGCCTACATAATGCCATTTTTGTCCCTGCTGAAATACACTCATGAGCCTATCGCAGTAATCAAGAGAATGCCTTCCCCTATGTACCTGAGTCTAATGTCAGCCTGTAAATGAAGTGGCCTGACTTCCATTTCAAACTGCATGCGATCGATAAGGGCTGAGGAAACGCAGCCACGCTGCTTCCCTGCTTCCTCTTTCTTTCTCTGTTCCCTCTCAACCCTTGAAAGTACTACAAGCAGCAGTATAGGAGGTCAGGGAAATTTTTTAAGCACTGACATAGAACGCTAGCATCAGAACATTTGCTAATCCTTGTATTTATATAATGTGCAGAAGTGTAAATATCACTCTGTGCTCTTGCTGCCCTGCCTGACATTGTTTAAAAGACAAGACTTTTTAGGTTTCTGCCATCAGCTTTGAACAAAGGTCTAAAATTAAAGGTGCAGTAGAAGATCTTGGAAAATGCTAACTTTAGCCTGATAGCACTGAAAGCGAACGTCTCACCCTCCCTGCAATCTGCAAAGCCACGCCCCCTGAACACATTTACGCTCACAGACCAGAATACCAGAGACAACATTACTACAATAGGCTACATCAGCGGTTCCCAATTCCAGCCCATGTTCCGAAGTGAAGTAAACTTCAACGGATTTCCCCCGCTCAGGGAGTAGGAAGCAATGAACACTGTGTAGGGATCATATCGATCGGAACACAGTTGGTTATCTCAATCGGGTGTGTTAACTAAGCGAGACACGCAAAATATGCAGAGCTGGGAGGCGCGAGGCGCGAGGACTGATTGGGAACTGCTGGGCTACATCATGTTTCTTTCACCGGTGAGAAAACTTTAAAAGTACTACAATACCAGGAAGGAAGATCGGGTTGTTGATGTTTGTCTGCCATTCTCGCTCTGTCTGCACAGCGTGCGTGAAAGCGCTGATGATGTATCCTGTCTGCGCGAACCGGGTGCGCAGAGGTATGCTAATACATACGTTGACAGGCAGGTAGGAAAGTCAATTAAAACGCTCTAACCGAGCGTTTTGAATGGGCGAACATTTCTTGGTCCTAGGCCTTCCACAGAATATATAAATACAGATAAATAAATTTAGACCACTCAACTTAATGATTGATATCGGGATGTGAAGAGACTTTCAACCAGCATAACAAAAAATGTTTCTGAAGACAATCACCTATTGCACCTTTAACTACGTACCTTGATACTGTTTTAAAAAAAATTATGTTTAAACAACATTAAAATTTTGTTAATTGCACTAATTACATTTAAAAAAGTTTGGATATGTATGTTTTTTTTTTTTTATAAATTAATATTTTTATTCAGCAAGGATGCATTAAATTGCTATACACAAACACACACACACTATATATATGTAAGTTGTAATTATTGATAAAAAAAAAGCTTTTATTTCTGAAGGGTCATGTGACACTGAGGACTGGAGCAACAGCTGCTGCAAATTCAGCTTTCCCATCACAGAAATAAATTATATTTTAAAATATATTAAAATAGCAAACAGTTATTTTATATTCCAAATAATATTTCACAATATTACTGTTTTTCTTGTATTTTTTGATCAAATAAATGCAGCCTTGGAGAACATAAGAGACTTCTCTTAAATAAAAATAATAATAATTTACCAACCCCAAACTTTTAAACAGTTGTGTACATTTAAATTTGAATTGAAATTCTGCATCCTGTTTGCTATCTTAATTAAAATTTTAGAATTGAATTGCAATTTTGATTCGGTAAAGACATTCTTAACTAAATTCTGAATAGTAAAAGTCTATTTACATCTGGGGACAAATGTGATAAACAACATGACAACAAACGTAAGGGGGAAAAAAACAGCAAAAACAGGGGGGGAAAATATGTTTTCGCCTCTGACAGACAAGTTAATTTTGGACCCTGCTTACAACTGAACAGAAAAAGACCTCATGCAGCAAAAGCGAAAGCAGCAGAGCACGCAAAATCTGAAAGAAATATGATGGGCGTAATGGACACACTGGTTTAGCTATGAATAATTCAAAAGAAAAAAAAAACATGAAAATGTTTTGCTTAAGCACAAAAAAGCTAATGCCAATCAAGCTGGCCGTCCTATTGGTGCTATGGTGCGCTAATGCCAAACCAGCTCTACTTTGCAGTGAGCGACGCCCGGTGGACGTTACCTGGACAGGTGGCAGTGCAGGCACTTTTCTGGATGCTCTGGCCCTCGCAGGACGTCCCGCCGTTCAGGGGAGTGGGGTTGGTGCAACTCCGGCTCCTCTTCTGCCACCCCCGACCACAGACAGCACTGCAAGCCAACCATGTGGCCCATGTGGACCAGCCACCGTTCACTGCTCGTGCGCCCAGTGCAAAGGAAAGGGGGAAACGAACACAGCGAGTCAGGATTACCCGACAAGCACAAGGATAAACAGCCACAAACATGAGCTCTGTGCTTAAAGGCAGGCCACGGGGACAGCGGCAACATATGAAAGCTATGTTAAGATCAATAGTTATCAACGCTACGCTAACTCTACTGTTGATTAGAGGTAGTTATGTAGCGGCTGCCATCTCTTTTGGTTGTTTCATTCAGTCTAAATTCGTGTTCATTTGATGTTTACACAGTTTCTTTGTCAATGAAACAGCACAACAACTCTTCTTTAAATTAATTATTCAGCTAGTACATAAAAAGCATTAAGAACTGAACTGAGAAACTTAAATTCAATTACCAAATTTGAATTAAGGAAGCAAAAAAATGCAGAAATGCAATTGCAATTTGAAGTAAGCAGAATCAACAAGAACTAAAATCCATGTTAATGTCATTTTCAACTAGAAAAAAAGGTTTGTCAAGACAAACTTTGTAAGATTGCTTGACAAAGCCTTGTCTGTAAGGCTAAAGAAGCTTAAAACATTTCATTATTTTGAAGGTTTTATAGGCCTTACAGAAAAAATGGATTTACTGCGAATCTATTGCAATTGTATGTTTCAACCACAGATGGCGATAGAAAGACCAAAATTCCATAGGGAACCTTTAATAAACAATGGCTGCATCCGAAATCTCATACTTCTCTACTATATAGCAGGCAAAAAATGAATGTGAACAGAGCACTATGTTCAGATTCACAGTATTCATAAAACAAAAGGCGGTGAGATTAAAAAAAATTCGGTGTGATTCTGAAGTGCATATCTGATGATACTTTATTATCCCATGAGGCCATGGGAGAGGATTTGTAAATGGCGGTAAAGCAACACAACTGATGCTGACAGGTCACATGACAACGGCAACATGACAAATGTAAGTCTGGACTTCTTCATTCATACTACATGCATCCATACAATATAGAACATACTTTTTTAATGGTTGCAAAGTAATTACTTATTCAAAAGAAGTACCTGCTCAGAGAGTGTGTGATTTCGGACACAACTAATGTTTCCAAATGGGTGAGTTGTTTACTCTGTAATTTGCTTGTCTACTTATAACAGTTTGACTTGTTTAGGCTGATTTATGTACTAATTACTAGCACAGGGTATTATTGCATAAACTCTTTCCCCGCCAGCATTTTTTTTTTTAAAAGTTGCCAGCCACCACCAGCGATTTTGATGATTTTCACTCAAATTTGATGGCCTCCAGTATATTTTGCTGTATGAATATTTGAATATGCAATACACCTAGATCAAGATCAGAGCCTCTACTTTTAAACAAAAAAAAATCTGTTTTATTCTAACTTAAAGCATTCTTTTTTTATCAACACTTGAATATAGGTAGGTTTCATAAAAATGCACAATTTTGAGCAAAAAGGTGAGAAAATCACATTTTTATCAAAAACTACATCTGGATAATATTCAGTAAGATTATCAAAGCATAAATCCAGTAAATCGCTTCCATCGACACCTCCAAAGTTTGCACAGACATATACCACTTCCTGGATCAACATTTTACTCCGTAACATTATGCAGTTTTCATTTATATGCTGTCTATTGCTGATGATCGCATTATTTTTCATATGCATCTGTTTACATAAGAGATCGCTAGTTTCTAGTTTCTATAACAATGAAAACACGAAAAGCCATAAAAACTTGTCTTTGGCGGGGAAGGGTTTTCTTCTAAAAGACGAAATAACTCGTCAATGGCGGGGAAAGAGTTAACAGAACGAGAGAATAGCCCGCCAATCACAGTGAAGTGGAGTTAGGGTTAGAAAACAGAAAAAAAGAAGAAAAAGAATTGTGTGCATGTCTGGCCACATCTGGATGTGGTAACTAAACATAATTCTCCTCAGTTTCTATTTATCAAGTCACAATGCTATTATCACTCATTCCCTTTTATAAGCTGCATATTAACAAAAGTCTTTGCTAAATCGGGGGACACATATGGTGGGTTGGATGTCTTAAAGGAAACGGCCTAGATTTCATCTCACAATGCTCACGTGGGGTGTATATTGGTTTTCTGCTCTACACCGATACACAGTATGGTTTTTATTGCACCAATATCCTGGCTCGTGAAATGCATAATCCTGCAAGGATTCCGCCATGATCCCGAGTCCAAAGTTCACGCAGGGTTTTTAATCAAGTTCCCAGCCTCCTCTCTCTTGGTGGGAGAATTCAGAGCAAATCTGATTTCTTCTTCCCTCAGTAACTCGACCGATTTGTTGTCCTGAAGCCTTGATCGCTGGTCAGAGTCCATATTGTGCTTGGAACTGCTCTGTAATTCTCCACGAAATCTCACTCTAGTCAGACCGAATCAATTTTTTAGCCTCTCTTCTACCACTGATTGCTCACCACGAAGAAGGAAATTGCGCAGCAACTCGGGTCCTGATTACCTCTTAGCACACCGTTGTGTCAAGTCAAGTCCAGCCTTGTTAAAATTCATCTCGGCCTCTGTCCAACAGCACTAATAACAGCTCTCACACCACCTATGGTTCAGCCAATAAGCAAGACTGCAAGACTTCAAATTAGTAAACTGACATTTTAATGCGAAGCCACGGGTAAAAATGAATAGCATAAAGGACCATATCTAATAGTTCTTTTGATCAAAAGGTATTCACAGGGAATTTTTCTTTAATTAATTTCTACAATGGTAGCAAATTGCTTGGGGAACACTGCACAATTTGAAACCATTAAAAATTGTAAGGCGCTGCACCTAGCATTTATTTGCCTTTTCGCTTTTTCCCTGTGTGAGGGCTTCATTGATTGACAGCATAAAGAGCAAACAATAGAACGAAAATGTTCTCGGCTCACTTTTGCAGAGCACTTTTACACAGCTGTCCCTTGACTTATTATCTTTAGGCTAGGCTTCAAAATAAACCTGATACATTATCTCTGACAAAAAAAGCCCAACAAGTTCAGATTCTCCATTGTTAACATGTCTGTCTGTGGTTTAGAAGTATTCTCAGTAGATCTGTCCCAGTACTGTACTCTATGTTGTTATGTGACTGACTCGGCCCGGCTCAGTAGAGAGCGTGTACTGGGTTGTAATGCATGCTACCTTTAGAACAGCGCTTGTCCTGGGACCCCTCCGGGGTTAGCGATGCTCTGCCGCTGTGCATTTTAATAAAGGTCAGCTAGCTTATAAACCCCATTCATTGGCCATTTTCTGCCATTAATTCAACAAGCTCAACTACAGTGTGAGTGTTTGTCACCTCTGCTGAGATTTCTGAGACACTGCCTGGCTGCTTTGCTCCCAAATTGATATGTTGTAATGTTGCTGCAATCATTCACAGCATGAACAGTTTTAGAGGAGCTACGCTAAAGCTGCCCATGCTATAATGTTCAGTTTTAAGATGGCTACTAGAAATATAATGGCCTCAATTTTATTTGGACACTTAAGTAAAATCCACAAAGTGCATGTAAATATATGTTTTATAATGCAAATGCAAATGCATTTATATTTATATTTATATTTACAAAATAAAATATTCAAGAAAGCAGCGTTTATTTTTAATAAAAATCATTCAAAAGATAGGAGTTTCCACACTTTCTGACCTTTCTAGTTAATCGTGACTGAAGAATTTTTAAAAATCATTTTAAAAGGATTCAAAGTTCAAGAAAATTATACACAAAACAGAAATTATGTGGAACAACTTGCAAACCAACTGAAATGTATGCGGTTAAAAATAAATAAATAATAATACATTTATAGGCGATCACATTTATAATTAATAGTTTCTCCCCTAAAAAAAATTATATAAATAAATATAAAGGTCATTAATTATAAAATATATTAAATTCATATTATATTAACTTAATTTCCATGTTTTTTCAGGCCTGAAAATATCACTTGTCCTTATATTTTTAAGGTTTATGGGAACCCGTAAATTATTTAAAGAAAATAATAAACATAAAAATAGATAATGTTCAAAAGTAATTGGACGGAGACTACAGCTAGTGTTGTTGTAGTAAAACACTGACAATTTTCACAAAGCAAAGCAGTCAGTATATTTTGTTCTCAAAGTCTGATCAAAATAGAGTTGTCCATCAAAGCTAGCCTAACTCTCTCAGTAAATTACCCCTGACTCTGGGTCAAAACCATCCCAAACTTTTGTCAGACTGTTGAAAGGTGAAGTCCATTTATCTGTGATTTAAGAATGGAACAAAGTATGAGAAGAAACACACCATAGACAATCACAGTAGCCGAGGAGCTCTTTCGTCGAGCCACAATGTTCTTGGCCACGCAGGTGTAGTTGCCTGTGTCGGCCAGGCGGGCTTGTTTGATGATGAGATTATGGTCCACGGTGATGAAGAAATTGGGGTCAGTCTTGAGGTCGATCAGCTCCTCGTTTCTCTGCCACTCCACCTAGAGATATACACAAGAGAAAACATTTCACAGCTTCAGTCTGGCTCAAACCGATGGAAAGCTCTGTATCACACTGTATCCAGCGGCCATTCTGGGCAGCTCCCAAAGACCCTGCCTGGGCTGAAGAAGCACTGCATGGGAGCATGGAGCAGTAGGAAAGTGGATTAGCATTTTTCTATCTTTCTTTTATTTTTTTTATTATATATATATTTTTTTATTATTTAATTAATCTATCTATCTATTTAGGAAATTAGAACATTTATTTAGCACCTTGAAATCAGAAATAGAACTAAAAGTAGCAATTGGGACTATGATAATACTTTGGTAATAAAAAAAGAAATATTTTTGATTTCATTTTTTTGTATTGTGGTATAATGTTCATCATCACATAAAATATATCTATATATAATCATATAGTTCCACTTTTCTGCTTTTAATCTTAAAATTCATTGTAAGAATTAGCTTTAATTGTAACTATGATTTATAATATGATTAATATAATAATAATAATAATAATGAACTGATTAATTAGTTAAAAATATTTCCTACAGTAATTATAATTACGCCACAAATGTTGAAATTGTATGAAAACAAGAATGTTCTTTTAAAACTGACTGAAACAAGTCAGAAAAAAAAGACAATGAATGAAGTCAAACTTATCAGTCACTTTGGTAGTGAAAATGGAGTTGAATATTTAATATGAAAATAAAGCACAGATACGTCGCTGCTGTTAGTTTGGATGGCCATTTTGAGCGGCAACAGTCCTGCACCAGTGCAAAAATTCATGTATTATTGATGGGACTCCCAGAGCTGCCAAATCACACTGCGTAGTTCCTCATCCAAGTCCAGCTCATAGAACAGACGGAATATGGTGAAAGACGTCAGATCTCTGGCTCGATGGTATATTTGTGCGAGTGCATTAATGAGGGGGATAATTAGCAGAGCTGCTGGGTGTTAACATGTTTAATTGTTGCTCTCACCTCTGCAGGAGGAACACCTTCAGGAGGATGACAGCGCAGAAGGACTTCCTGATCCAGTGCCACTTCCTTACCCAGTGGTTCCTCCTCAAAGTTCTTCCTCAGATCTGTACAGCAAAATCATTTTATTTATTAGTTACTAGGTGTATTTGGAACATATATGTTCAAACTTATAAGCACAACCATAATTAAAACATATAGGCTTCCCCATGTGCATAATAAAATAAAGATGAGGTAATGGTTGGGTATGCCATGCTATTTGCAAAAAAAAAAAAAAAAAAGCACAGACCTTGTAGTGCACAGTATATTTAATATTAACTATTTGTCATAATTAGTGTAACATTAATTTGGTTAGTATTCTCAGAGGAGTGGCATGGTGAGCATATGTTCTGACATGTTCTGACTATTTATTCAATTATAAAGTACGAACATGGTTAAATATGACTAGCTGTTGAATGAGCAATATTCAGTTAGTTAAAACTATATGAGATTGAAACAAAATAGATGATAAATACATGAATCTGGTTACTGTGCATTAAAACACATTTATTTAATTAATACTTTTACAGAAATCTTTTGTTTCATTTATGTATTGCTGACAAATTTGCATCAGGATTAGTAGTTTGTTAAAACTGTGTAATCCAAATGGACATTAATTTTATTTTCAATTCAAATACATGTCTTAAATTCAGGTCTTTGTGTGTGTGTATAGATTTTTTATAGACAGATTTTGACTTTGCCACCTTTAGTTTTAAAATTACTGTCAGTGTGAAGAGGGCATTAAGCAAAAGTCTAGGGGAAACAATTGAGATTTTAAAAGGATTGGAAGTTTTTTTTTCTTTTCTATGGGCTCTCAAGCCAGGCTATTGACTAAAATTCTCCTGTAGTCATAAAGTGGATCAGAACGTGTACATGTATCACCAGGAAGGTAAACTGCCAAGCCATTTAATCTAATGCTATCTGTGTCACATTAAGCAATGTGTTTTTTTGGGTTCAGAGCTCCTCCATATATAACTCAGGGCTTTGTTTGCACCATGTACGTTCTCTCTTAGAAGGATCCATATCACAGACCCAAGTGCTTATTAGACCCTGCTTGGTTGCTTCAGAGAATGGTTGTCTGCAGCCCCCAGGCAAAGCATCAACAAAAAGGAGTCGCATTATCTTCCTCCACTACTCGATACCACACCATGGCTGTGGTTTCCACACGACCACCCACTCTACCTAAAACCCCTGGGACAAACGTTGATGCGAGTCGAATTGTATTTGCTCATCAAAATTGCATTACACTTGATGGAGGGTTTTCGATGGCACAATTTCAAAACAATATTTGCATAAACGTTTATAGCTGTTATGACACGAAAAAGCTTTTGGAAGAAGGTGTCCATTGAGACAAGGGGCTTGTCTTCGGTTCAGATGCTGGGGAATAAAATCTCTTTCAATAACGATGGCACTGCCGACATGTTCTGACTATTTATTCAATTATAAAGTACGAACATGGTTAAATATGACTAGCTGTTGAATGAGCAATATTCAGTTAGTTAAAACTATATGAGATTGAAACAAAATAGATGATAAATACATGAATCTGGTTACTGTGCATTAAAACACATTTATTTAATTAATACTTTTACAGAAATCTTTTGTTTCATTTATGTATTGCTGACAAATTTGCATCAGGATTAGTAGTTTGTTAAAACTGTGTAATCCAAATGGACATTAATTTTATTTTCAATTCAAATACATGTCTTAAATTCAGGTCTTTGTGTGTGTGTATAGATTTTTTATAGACAGATTTTGACTTTGCCACCTTTAGTTTTAAAATTACTGTCAGTGTGAAGAGGGCATTAAGCAAAAGTCTAGGGGAAACAATTGAGATTTTAAAAGGATTGGAAGTTTTTTTTTCTTTTCTATGGGCTCTCAAGCCAGGCTATTGACTAAAATTCTCCTGTAGTCATAAAGTGGATCAGAACGTGTACATGTATCACCAGGAAGGTAAACTGCCAAGCCATTTAATCTAATGCTATCTGTGTCACATTAAGCAATGTGTTTTTTTGGGTTCAGAGCTCCTCCATATATAACTCAGGGCTTTGTTTGCACCATGTACGTTCTCTCTTAGAAGGATCCATATCACAGACCCAAGTGCTTATTAGACCCTGCTTGGTTGCTTCAGAGAATGGTTGTCTGCAGCCCCCAGGCAAAGCATCAACAAAAAGGAGTCGCATTATCTTCCTCCACTACTCGATACCACACCATGGCTGTGGTTTCCACACGACCACCCACTCTACCTAAAACCCCTGGGACAAACGTTGATGCGAGTCGAATTGTATTTGCTCGTCAAAATTGCATTACACTTGATGGAGGGTTTTCGATGGCACAATTTCAAAACAATATTTGCATAAACGTTTATAGCTGTTATGACACGAAAAAGCTTTTGGAAGAAGGTGTCCATTGAGACAAGGGGCTTGTCTTCGGTTCAGATGCTGGGGAATAAAATCTCTTTCAATAACGATGGCACTGCCAGTCATTTCGTTTCCTCAAAACAGATGTCATGCCTGTCTTCATCAATCAGGCCTTGGCAAACATTAAGAGGTGAAGAGGGGCCTTTGACATTCTATTTAATTAAATAGGATTTGATGGGAATCGGAGAGGCACAAAGGATTAGATGGCCATCGAGTCCTGAGATGACATTGTCATGACATGAGTGGAAAACTCGAGAGGTTTGTTAAAGGAATAGTTCACCTTAGCGCAGTTACAGTGAATGGGCACTGAAGCTTTCAAGCTCCAAAAAAGACTGAAGCACCATACAAATAACACAGAAGTGGTCCATATGACTCATGCGCTATATTGAAAGTGCTCAGAAGTTGTATGGCTCTTTGTGTCCAGGAAAAGACGGAGTTATGTAGCACACAAACCGTTTGAGCCCCTGGATGCTGTAATCATTCTTGGGTGAGTAAAAGTTTTTTTAAGTGATAATTCAAATAAACATTAATGTGTTCATCAGAAGTTGATACAATGTTGAAACACTTGAAATTATTTTTGTAAATCCAGTGGTCAAATGCTGTGTAGCCACCTGACTAGTGACTGTCTTTGTGTGAATGTCCACAAAACTGGAAGACTTTCTGAGTGTATATAAGCAGTAGGCTATTTTAAAAAGGAACATATAAAAGATGAAAAAGATGTATTTGGGAGAATCAATAAACTATGAATAATGTATGGCTATTGTGTGAATAATATGTAATCATGTAATCAATAAAAAAAGCTGTAGTCTGATTACAAGTATTTTAAAATGTAATTTAATCTAATTACAAGCACTTAATTTTTGGAATCTGATTACGCAATATATATATATATATATATATATATATATATATATATATATATATATATATATATATATATATATATATATACACACATGACTGTATTGTATCTTTCCTTAGACGCTACTTTAAATATGTCTTCTCTTCTGTTTTGTGGTGACGTTTGTTCTGAGTGAGGCAGTGCGGTTTCTTGGTGTTTAATCACACAGAAATATCAAAACCACCAGGCCTCTTGAGTCAGTTACAAAGTGTTACACTGCAGATTAGCAGATTTTCCTTGCCACAGGCTCTTCCTGATCAAACTTTCCAATCAAACATTAAATAAGTCATATAAAACCAACTGAATCAATCAGCCTTGGGGAAAAACAGAACATAAGTGGTTAGATTGATTGGCTAAATGGAATTTCAAAATAACTTTTAATAGAAAGTAATGCACTATCAAAACACTCTACTGTGGAGTGATAAAAAAGAGCAAATGCTACTGTGATGTAGAGCACTTTAAAGACATTAGGGACAAATTAATTTGGTTAGACATGCTTTTTACCAAAACACACTGCTTACACAGTATTTGAAATGAAAATTAAAGTATTCATATGTACGACATTAACATCTATGGCAAGAAACACCTGTTCATGTAGCTGCTATGTTTTTCCCTTACAGCACCCATAGAGACCAGCTATTAATGTTAGTTGCCAATTCAGGCTCTGTATTTTCTAGTTGAATGATGGAAATTAACTAATTTGCTTTAACCTGTGGTTCTCAATTGATTTTGCTTTGAGACCGAGATTTTACATTAGGGCTGAAATGATGACCTTACACGGTATGAAACATTTTTTAATGCACAAAAGTAGGCAAATAAATATCATTAAATTAATTATAATAAAATTAATTATTAATATTATATATTAAGTCAGTAACTGATTGCACAAAACACGTGGTCATTTAAAACCTTGTTTATCCACATGAACCCATGTTTAATGTAGTCACTTGATGTCAGCACTAACAAGACTAGAAGATACTAGAAGTGGTTTCTTCCATTTTAGTTGATCATTTCATTTTAGCTGATAATGTGACACTGAAGACTGGAGATACAGCTGCTGAACATTCAGCTTTGCCATCACAGAAATTAATTACATTTTACAATATATTTAAACAGAAAACTTATTTTAAATGGTAATGTTATTTCAAAATATTACTGTTTTACAGTATTTTTTTAAATGCAGCCTTGGTGAGCATAAGTGACTTCTTTCAAAAACATTAAAAAACAACCTACAGTGTCTCTCTCTTTATAAAATAAATATGATTTATTTTGGAAGTGTAGCCTATCTATGCATTTTTATGCTGCATTGTTAGTTGCACTTTATTATTTGCATTTAGCTTTTGTTCAATAATTTCCCCCCCTCCAATTCAGATCAACACAGACCTGTGACCCATTTTGGGGAAGCACCCCACCAGTTGAGAACCCACTGTGCTAGACATTTATCACAGATTATAAAATAGCATTCCTCAAAATGTTTGTGTTATAAGATAGCAGAGCTGAACTCACAGGCGATGCGCACAAATGCCTTTTGGCTCTTCTGGGTTCCTGTAGTGCTCCAGGCCACACACTGACACCAGTAATCCTCCAGACCGAAGATCTTCTCCACCTGCTGTCTGGAGATGTCAATCTTCACCTGCATCACCGGCAGCCCTGGGACCAAACCAGAAACAGCAAACATGTTCAGCTCAGCGCTCCAAACATATCGCCATTGACAGAGACAGAGAGAGGCATTCAGAAACAGTCCTTCAGCTGACGGGCGCCAGTCCCCTGTAAAACTGTTTATTTGTGTCAAACTTGTTGCGGCTAATATGTGGCAAATTGGTTGGTGGGAATTAGCAGCTCTTTACTGGCAGTGGTGCATCAAAACTTTGGCAACAATGCTACATTTTTCACAGCTGTCAAACTTTTCACGGATGTGGCAAACTGTCCACTGTTTCCAAAGGTTTTTTTGTAGGTTCACCACATCTGGTGAAGAGCTGCCGACCATTTGAGATGAGGGGAAACAAATTAACTTTTTTTTGTTTGTTTTTGCAAATGAACATTTCTGTTGCTTGGCTAATTCATGGAATACTGTCAGATGATTGAGCACTGTCACAATCATTGTTGACTAAATGCAAGAAGTGTATGACATGCGAAACCACCTCGAAATAGAAAATCCTAAACTCTAATACGCTTTCTGGGATGAATTAATAAATAAACAGATATTAATATTTATGTGAGCTTCCAGTGGGAGATATTTTTCCTGGTTACTCAACATGTGCATTTCCAAGAGTGGCTGGGATTATCCCATTACAGCTCAGAGGTCTTTTCTGAAAATTAAAATTAAAAGAGGACAAGAAAAAAAGAGGGATGAAGTGATAATTTGTCAACTGCAGTGGGTTGAATAATGTCTATGCAACTGGTGTGAAGTCATCCAACAAAATGATTCATTTTCAGCTGACAATTACAAATGAACATCATCAGAGTTAACCAACACCAACAACACAAACTGTGTAATGCATAATAAAGCTCTCTTTGAAGATGAAGGGAGGGGGTTAGACAAAGATAATTTTTCTTTTCATTATCTCTGGACCATCTCCTCAACCCCTGAGCCTCTCTGATATTTTTCTCCATGTCTATCGCTCATCTCAACACAAAAGCGTGACCTTGAAGATGTCCACATCCCCTTCAACAACCGCCTTCCTCCTAATTTCTCCCATAATCTCTCTCACTCCAACCTTAATTATCTCTCCACCCAACCTTATTCATCCCTTCCTCTCTCTTTCTCTTGTGTGGGTTGAAACTATGTATGTATGTATGCATGCACACTGAACAAAATTATAAACGGAACACTTTTGTTTTTGCCCCCATTTTTCATGAGCTGAACTCAAAGATCTAAGACGTTTTATATGTACACAAAAGGCCTATTTCTCTCAAATATTGTTCACAAATTTGTCTAAATCTGTGTTAGTGAGCACTTCTCCTTTGCTGAGAGAATCCATCCACCTCACAGGTGTGGCATATCAAGATTCTGATTAGACAGCATGATTATTGTACAGGTGTGCCTTAGGCTGGCCACAATAAAAGGCCACTCTAAAATGTGCAGTTTTACTGTATTGGGCGGTCCGGGGGGGTCTGAAAACCAGTCAGTATCTGGTGTGACCACCATTTATCTCACGCAGTGCAACAGATCTCCTTCGCATAGAGTTGATCAGGTTGTTGATTGTGGCCTGTGGAATGTTGGTCCACTCCTCTTCAATGGCTGTTAATAAATAACAATTTGGTCCCTCGATATCTCTTTGCCACCGTGAAATCTTCTCAGTCTCTCCAAGTGTATACATACGGCCGGGAAGTAAGAAAACACACATTCAAATGTATTCTCAAGTACTTCAATTTATTCATAGAAATACAGATCTTATATAGGCATATGTCGAGGGGAGTTTCATCCTCTTAACCAATGAAGATAGGGGGACATACCCATACAGGATGTTTTTCCCAAGAACATGTGTTTTGTATAAAATCGCCACATATACAGAAAAACATATCCATATAAGGAATAGACTTCCTGGCGACGAATACTGAGAGGAGGGAGAGTGAGAGGGAGAAAAATATTTGTTAAATACAACAAAAAGTTGTGTGTCTGATTGGTCCAAATGCTACACAGCTTACAGGAATTGTGTACAGATCCTTGCAACATGGGACAGTGCATTATCATGCTGCAACATGAGGTGATGGTCGTGGATGAATGGCACAACAATGGGCCTCAGGATCTCGTCACGGTATCTCTGTGCATTCAAAATGCCATCAATAAAATGCACCTGTGTTCGTTGTCCATAACATAC